TACAAAGGTTTATAAAGTTTACTATACCATTGTGATTCTTTTATCCCTCTCTAAGCTGTCATCTGAGTTGTCAATTTTCCTCTGGGAAGGTGTTCTAAAGATGTTTTACAGAGCATCATAGTAGGGCTTTAAACTAAGTGTCTAAAACCATTCTCTAGGAACACAGGGTAAATTAGGTTACATTGGAATGACAGTGTATTCATTTGCAAGTCCCCTGACACAGTCATTTCAACAACTTAGCTTTAGCATTTACAGTCAGCTCCCAGCTGTAGAGGGAAATTCAATGGCCTCATTATTGTGTCTGAACTGAACTGTGTCATGCAGGAGGAAGGGCAAAGACAGAGGCAGATTGGGGCCTTCCAGTTCATCTGTACTTTGAGCTGTTTCAGCAGCATCCTTGGAGTCTGGAGGCAGGAGAGCATCAGTTCTTCCGTGAGGAAGCTCTGGTGCCTCGGTAAATCCTAAACGAATAGCAATTTGTGCCCTTTGAGGCTCGCAGAATTCTTTTGAGCTCCTGTTGGATTCAGGGATCACAGGGATCAGCTTGACTCCTGGAAGCAGGATGTGTTCATTCAGAGGCAGCAGCTTTGGCAGCCAAAGAGGATTGTCAGAACCTATTTTCCTTTTAGCAGCAGGAGTAAGTACTGTAAAGAAACAGGGCTCAGGGGGAGTGCATGATGCATAAACAGAATGTAATCCACTGAATGTGCTGGGAATTAGAGAATAAGGGAAGGGGAACACATTTCTACTGCTACTACCTTTTGTAGGGAACACCACTGCCCTACATATACGATTGCTTGAAGGGGCTCTTGTGTTTCAGGGTGGGAGGGGGAAGTGAGATATTCATGCAGATTGAGCTGCCCTCACTTCGTTACAAATTTAATCTGCAAGGTTTACCCATCCTCAAAAAAAAAAAAATTAAAACGCTGTCACTAAATTTTAAGTAGAATTATGTCTTTCTTTACATAACTAAGTCATGCCACTTACTAAATGCATTAAAATTTTTGGAAACAGGGTGGAGGAATATTGTGATTAAATAGCTAAAAGCTCCAAAACAATGAAAGGGCAGCATTAGGTGTGGCAAAATGTTAGGGTTTTAGGCACGGGAGAGAAGCAAATATACTTCAGAGAAAGAACTGTTACATGAAGTATGAAATATTTTCCTGGTGATTTGTATTATAGTCAGGATTTGATTCTTTGAATAGACTTGAAAGCACTCTGGGCAGGAATAAATAAAGAGACTGTCATCAATCATTGGATATTTATGCTAAGAAGGACTGTTTTCTTCTTTCTTTGTCATTTGTTTAATGGCCCCCACAGCATGACTCCTGAAGGCTGTGGCTCCAGGCCCTAAAGGCACATGCCCAAAATCCAGCACATGCTCTCCCCATGCTAATTCATCAGCACTATTCAGAGAAGGGGAAAATGAATGTAGGAAACAGCCACAGAAAGAAGAAGGACTTGGCCAAACATCATCCTTGCAGCTGCGTTTCTGCTCCTGGGAGAGCTCTGATTGGCCATCCCTTCCAGCAGCATTTTCAGGAGAGCAAGATTTGCACAGACTCCCACGTGGCTTTCTTCCTGTGGAGGAAAAGAAATGGCAGGAACCCCATTAGGCAATTTAAAATTGCCTTCTTATTTCCCATTGAAAGGGAAAGACTTTAGGCCATTTCACAGGATAATAAAATAATGAACTGCAATTAGTCAAACCTCCTGAAAAAAAAAAAAAAAAGAATGCTTCCTAGTTGATAATATTTATCAGCACAACTGTGTCATTTATGTAGAAAGGTGCCTTTCACTGATTGCTGTGGGTGTGATTTTGGATTTCCATTTAATATTAAGGCAAACTGTATCCATGTAAACTCTGGGCTGCCACCTTTGTCTTGGAAATAAAAGAAAATGTTTAAGACAAAACCATAATAATTGAGTCCATCAGTAAATTTTGACACTTGAAACTTTCACTTTTTTCCCCCATGAAATTTGTGGAATTGATTTTGATACAATGTCTATTCTATGTATGGTCAATTCAAATTGGGTCTAAGTAGCCGACATTCTGAGTTTTACTAATTTCTGAGTATTGAAATATATCTACAGATTGCAAAAGGGTGTGAAATATTGGGCAATAAGCATCATGTTTCTGGGGGAATTAAATAGGTAAAGTCATCATTGTTGGTTTCCATATACCTCTTGGTTAATTTGGAGTTTTCCAGAGTCAGGAAAGGAGAAGGAAGATGAAAGATAAAAATGTTTCACATTGATCTCTCTAAATCCAAGGAAGTGAAGGGGAGAATGGAGATAACAAGCTCTTAAACCATAGAAAACAGAACTTTGATTTTCTTTAAAAGAAATCTAAGATGGCTAAAGTTTCCCATTTGGGGGCCTTCAAGTTTATATTGTTCATTGAATAATAAATGGTCACCTGGTATTTTTATCTTAAAACATTATTTCTTATGAATACTCAGGTCTAAATACAATTTAACCTTTGTTCAATAGACATTTACTGAGCATGTTCTATTTCAAAGAGTATTTGTTATAGGCTGTGAGGATAAAGAAGATATGACCTTTCCTAGGCACATAGGAAGTAGAATACAGAAAGGTAGACATATTTGGTTCAATAATGAGGATACACATAGTGTACAATGAATAATGTTAGAAAAGACCATGAATTTCATCTAATTTAATTTCAGAAGGCTTTATGAATTTACATTTGAGTTAAACCTAAAATAACGATCCAAATTTACATAAAGTGACAGAAATTATAAGTAAAGGTACTTAGTTATTAAAATTCATGCTAGAAAGACTGATTTATAGAATGTATAGAAACAATAAGAGAATATCTGTGAAAATATCATACTTGTGTGGGTTAGCCAACAAACATCAGTGAAATCTAAATTAGAGCATAGCACACCTAGTTGTAAAATGCATTTGGGGAGACCATATGGATATGAGGATATGAGGAAAATGGAACGGTTATGGATTTTGGAAGGACATCACTTCATATCCTGTCTCTTCCTCTCACATATGGAACCATTTCTTAACCTCTCCAAGCCTCAAATGTAAGACATACCTAGTGTACATCCAATAATAAATGGTTTATAATTAAGATTTTACTGAGATACTATGTAAGAAATATATTAATACAGTGTCTAATAGTCAATAAATGGTAGCTGCTATTACATTGCTATTCTTAGTTGTGTGATGGTTATTACATAAAAATTGGAACCATTATTTGTGACTATGTGTTATGGAAAGAATTCGAATTCATTCTACCCTTATTGTAAACTTGTTTATTGAAAAGTCTATATAGAAAGAGGCTGTGACATTATCAAAACAGCTTTTGCAGATTGACTCAAGCATGTGAAGATGCCTCAGACCAGTGGACACCAGTGAGGAGGCCCTTTCAGTAGACTGAGGATGAGTAAATGAGAAAGACAGACACAAGCCAGAGTTGTAAGTCACTGCACCTAACTACTATGAGAAGGAAGAACTTAAGATATTGATTATATTCGTATCATGAGAAGCTGGAATTAAAGGAAAAATACTTTGAGGGACATACAATATATTCAGCTTACCTTTAGTGTTCAAAGTGTTCAAATTACCTAAAATTAAAGTTATAAACAGAAGAGCCATATCAGTAAAATTGTTGTAGATTTGGAGTTATCAGTACAGAAGTCAGCACGGAAATGGTGCAATTTTCCCAAAAGGGAAAATATCATGAGGAAGAAGAGACCAAGTTTACAGCACTGAAAAATCCCAACATAAAAAAAGTGAAGTTAATACAAATTTAATGGTTTAAGGAGATAGATTCAAAGAGATTCAAATGTTTTATTTCAATATAAGTAGCATACTTAAGAGGAAGAGAGCTATTGGAATAACTTTAAGAAACAATAAGATCTCAGAATGTGAAGATAAAAAGTATAAGAGAAATAAAGATTCAAAAGGCT